TTATTTAATAGCCCAGTATCAGGAGCATTTCAATGCACTTGAAAATAATGTTTTCTGTAGTCGTTGGGTATAAGGTTCTGTAAACATGCCTTCAGTACAGCTGGCTGTCTGGGTTGTTTCAAGTGTTCTATACATACACTAATATTCTTGCCTGCTAGTTCTACCATTAACAGAGAGAAGTGTTGAAATTTCCAAATCTAATTATAGGTTTGTCTATTTCTCCTTTTGGTTTTATCAATTTTTCCTTCACATATTTTGAAGGTTTGTCATCAAACGTATTTGCATTTAGGATTATGATATATTTTTGATGAGTTGACTCCCTTACCATCATGAACTGTTCTTTGTTATGCCTGGCAGTATTCTTTGTTCCAAAGTCTACCCATCTGATACTAACGAAACCATTCCAGTTTTCTTTTGATAAGTGCTTGAATGGAATGCCTTTTTCCATCCTTTTATTTTTAACCTATTTATATTTTGTTAAAATATCTTATATATTTAAAATGGACTTCTTAATTATAGTTGGTTCTTGCCTTGGTATCCATCTGACAATATTTGCATATTAAATGGTTTACTGATGACACATTCAGTATGATTTTTAATATGTAATCCCAGCAACTCAGGAGGCTGAGGCAAGAGTATCTCTACTTTGAAGTCAGTCTTAGCAATTTAGTGAGACCCTCAGAAATTTAGCAAGACCCTGTCTCAAAATAAATAATAAAAAAGGAGGGGCTGGGGTTGTGGCTCAATGGTAGAGTGCTTGCCTCGAATGTGTGAGGCACTGGGTTTGATTCTCAGCACCACATATAAATAAAAAATAAAGGTTCATTAACAACTAAATTGAATAAATTAATAAAATTTAAAAAATAAAAAAGGAGTGGGGATGTAGCTCAGTGCTCAAGTACCCCTGGATTTAATCCCGGTACCAGGGTGACAGAGGGAAGATGAGTGTGTGTGTGTGTGTGTGTGTGTGTGCGCGCGCGCGCTGTGTGTAGGTGACATCTTGCTTTTTGTCTTCTGTTTGTCTCACTTATTCTTTGTTCCTTTCCCCTTATCATCTTTTGAATTAGTTTGTTGTCCTATTTTATCTCCATTTTTGGCTAACAAGTCACACCTCTTTTTTAATGCTTTTTTAGAGGTTGCTCTATGACATGCAACATATATCTTTATCTTAGTACAGTCTACTTCAAATATGATATTACTTTACATACAGTATTAAGAAATTATCACAGTACCCTTCCATTTCTCCACTCCTGTCCTTTATATTATTGTTGACATATATTTTGCTTCTATATATGTTATAAAATCCACAGTATCTTGTTTATATTTCGTCTTTAGGTAGTTTTGCAAAGATTTTTTTTTTTAAAAAAAGGGGGAAAAGCTTCATATATTCCTGCATATTTACCACTTTGGGACTCTTTTAATCCTTTGTATAGCACAAATATCTATCTAGTATCATTTTCCTTCTGCCTGAAAAAAAGAAAAACAAAACAAACAAACAACAACAACAAAAAAACTCTACCTTAACACTCTGGCTGCTGGTGATGAATTCTCCCAACTTGACTTTGTCTACAAAATATCTTTACTTCACTTTCATATCTGAGGACTATTTTTGTTGGGTACAAAATTCTACATTAACAATTTTTGTTTTTTAGTTCTATTGTTTTATGCCTTGAATAATTTCTGACCAGACATATGCTGTCATTCTCATCTTCCTTTCTCTCTATGTGACATCTCCCCCACCCCTGATCTTCTTTCTGGTGCTTTTATGAACGTCTTCTTATTAAGTGAATGATTATTATGTGCCTTGACTTGACTTGCTTTATTTTTATTTGCTATATTTACTTGGGTTTTGTTGAGCTTCTTGAATTATGGGCTAACAATTTTCAGCAAATTTAGAAAAATTTTCTACTACTATCCCTTCAAATTTTTTTCTTTTTTTGGTCCTCCTCCTCCTGTTTTTCTGAGACTCTGATCACACATATAATAAACTGCCACCTGCCATCCTGTGGTTTACTTTTTATCAATGGTTTTTCTTTATGTGCTTGATTTTAGATAGTTTCATGGTTCTAGTTTCAATTCATCAATCATGTTTTCTGCATTGTCTAATCTATTATTTTTTCATTTTGATTCTGTGATTGATAGTCTATTTTTCACTTCCAGAAATGCTATACTTTAACAGTTTTCCATTTTTCTCATCATCTTGCTGATATTTTCCTTTATAAGTTTGAGAAAATGAAACATATTTAAAACATCTGTTTCCTTTTTCTGCTAATTCCAACATGTATTATTACTAGGTCTACTACTATTGATAATTTTTCTTTTGTCACATTGGGTCATGTATCAAGACACTTGACACTGTCAACTTTACTTTTTCTTTTTTTAACTTTGCATTTTTCAATGCAGAATTTGTTGTATTGCTTTAAAGAGTTTTGGATATTTTCCTGTTAGACAGTTAAGTTAGTTGTTGATTAATTTGATTATTTCATATTTACTTTTAAACTATTTTAGGGTGAGCCTTGTATGTCCCAGTGCTGATGCATGGCCCTTCTACGTTTCTATCAAGTGCTCCATTTATTCAGTGAAGTCTCCTCTTCAGCTAGAGGGTAAGCAGAAGCCTGGCCCTGCGTTGGTGCATGCTATTGGTCTTGCAGCTACCCTCAGTAGTTCTTGTCTGGTCCCACAGGGTTTTAACCTGTGCATAGTAGACTGATATTAATCCAAAGATTTAAGAGGGCCTCTATACAGATTTCTGGAGTTTTCTTCTCATTGTCGCTTCTTCCTTTAAGGTATTCTGCTCTATAAATTCTAGAAATTTTGGCTTCCCCAAACTCTGCTCTGCCTCAGCTCAGTGAGTGCCAGGCCCTAGGCTCTCCTTCCCTGGGGCAGAATTATCTCCAGGAAGAAAGCCTAGGTGATGATAGGGCTCCGACGGTTAGTTTTCTTTTCCAAGGACTCACTGTTCATCATGGCCTATTATCCCAAAATGGGTCAGACTTCCCAATACTTTCTCCAGTTCTAGCTGTTTTTACAGGGGGAGGTAACCCCAGACTGTCTTGCTCGCTCTTGACTGGAGGCAGCCGTCTCTTGCTATATTTCTGGTGTACACCATCACTGATAGCTCACAGAAAGGGGCAGCAACTGCCCTCTTTCAACTATATGCCTCTTGCCTACCATACCTACACCCCACTGTTCCCTAACTGCCAGCCCTTGTCCCTAATCCAGCCACAGGTATCCTCTCCCTTTTCCTCAGACTTCTCACAGAATGTGCTGCCACCTCACTACCTACAACTTTGACACCTGATTCAAAGACCCCTGTCCGTGGCATAAAGGGCCCAAACTGGACCTGGATGGAGCAGAAGCTGAATACCAGCCCCACCTTCCAATGGCCTGTGTGTCCCCAGGGAACACCTTGGTTTCTCTCTCTCTGTAATCTCCACAGAGTTGGGGTAAGGATCAGGGTTCCAGGCGTGAAATAGGTGGGTGCTTGATGAGTGTCACTCCCCATCTCTGAGCCACCACTTCACTGTTGTTCTCTTTCACCTTCTCAGAGGTGGTTTTGAAACAGTCTCTCACCATTTATGGGAGTGTGTGGAAATCTTCACAATCACCAGGGCAACAACCAACACATATCAACGTCTAGTACACGAGGCACAAGAGCAGGCCCTCAGCATATTCTGGCCAAGTAAATCACTGTGTCCTGCACTTCCCTTGATTGCTACTGTATTCCACCCCATTCAGTCACAGCCCTCAGTTTGTCACCAGGATGATCTTCCTCAAGGACAGCTCAGCTCGGTTCTTTTGCCTGCCCCAAAACCTTCCATGACTCCCTGTTGTCATAACTACCCCAGATAACATTCTCTGGTCTTACATTTTGAAATCCCAAATTGCCTTCTGGATTTCTCTCTCACCATCACACACCCAATTCTGCAGTAAAAGCTTCTCTGTGACCATGTATGTGTTTTCCTCCAGACGTTCGTTAACAAGTGGACACCTGTGTCCCTCTCCTATAACGGAGGGTTTGATACCCACTGTGACCTTCAGTGCTGCCTCCTCCTTGGGGCTTTCTCTGAACTCTTTTTTTAAATTATTATTGTTATTATTTTTGGTAGTTGTAGATGGACAGAATGTATTTAATCGTTTATTTTTATATGGTGCCAAGGATCAAACCCAGTGCCTTACACGTGCTAGGCAAGCGCTCTGCCACTGAGCTACAGCCTCAGCTCTGAACTCTTGTAATCTGTTACAGATGCCCTGGAGGGCTTGGGACCTCCTTTCATAGTCACCTTGAGGTAAGCCGCACTCTGAGATCCAAAGGACAGGAAATGGGCCTGTTGTGTCTGGGATGGGAGAAGTAATAGCTCTATCAGGAAGCCCCCTGCAGGACTGCCTCAGAGGGAGGTTGGGCACACAGCTGCATGATGAAGGAGTGACCAGGCACCCCCTCCTCTCTCCAAAGGGAATCACTGAGCCACAGGGCAGATTAAGTCCATCACAAAGGCCAGACTAAGGATCTTCACTCTCAGGTCAGTGTTTTGGACATTTCAGCCTCTGAACTCACTTTCATAAAGCCAGAGGGACAGGAGCAGGAGAACATGTCCCAGGAAGACACGCAGCTCCTGGCTCCAGATCTCTGGGGAGAGGCCTGGTGAGGCTGGAGAGACCTCAGGAAAACAAGCAGAATTTATCCTGCAACCAAGACCTGCTCCTGCGGCCGGAAGACATCCCTGTTCTGCACTGGAAACCTGCAGTGGCTGAGCACCACAGTGCCGTCCCCTGCAAGCACAAATGGCAGGCTACCTGCTGCACTCTTCCCACGCAACCACACGCTCTCAGCCTCCTGCCTGGGCAAATTCCGAACACTCCACTGCCCCTCACTCCCCATCACCCATGTCCCAATGTCACTTGCCTCCAAGGCCTACCTCCCCCTCCCATTCACATGCTGGGTGGCCTTCCACCCCTTCTCTACCCCAGTAACCTCAGCAGAGCCACAGGACACTCACGAATGGAGACTGGCAGCACCAGTGGGAAAATCTGTGGGTTTCCCATCTCCCTTCTGTCTTGGGCCTGTGGCAGGTCTCGGCCCCTCCACACACGCCGGTGTGCCAGGGGGCAGCAGCTCCCCGACGATGCAGGAGACTGGACGCAGCCAGGAGCTGAAGACCACAGAACCGCCCTGACACTGCCTCTCTGTGCGACCTCAGGCAAGTCACTTCTCTGTGGGGCCTCTTCTCCAGAAAGCTCTGGGATGTCCCTGGAAGCCAGGTTCTCATGCAGTCCCGGCTCCCCGTCTAGGAGGAAGCAGCCGGCAGGAAAGAGTGAGCCTGAATAACCTGGTCCCTGGGGTGCAAACCCCAACTCTTCCCTGTTTGTAAATTCTGCCCACGCAAAATGCACTCCGGCACTTCCTCAAAGGCATATGCTCTGGGGCTTTACACAGTTACGGATAAATGTGATCAGAGTAACACTTGCAGCTGAACAAGGCTCGGCGGATTACAAAGTGCCTTCACTCCTCGGTTCACGTATTCTTTACACAACTCCCTGAGAGCTGGCATCTTCGCTACAGTCACAGCAAACTTAGAAGGCTGCTGGTTCTAAGAGCTCAGTGACTTAGTAAATCTAAGGACACAGGGAAGGTTAAGCCGGTTGACCAAGATCACAGAGCAGACAAACAGAAGCCCAGTGATCTGGCTCTGTGTTACTCACAGTGTCCCTGTCCCTCTACCCTCCTCATGCATGGGGAGTGCGGGGTACACAGGAACCAAGGCTCAGCAAGATCAAATGGTCTCCCCAAGACCCCAGCACCCACAGAGGGGCAGCCTCAACTCAACTCCTGATAAAACACTATGAAACAGGCAAAGTGAGAAACGCAGAGAATGTCAGCCCTTGGCAGGACACAGAGACTCTGGGGCCTCACACCTTCCACAGGCTCTCTCCTCACCCTGGCACAGTGCCACCTCCTCCACAACCACCCACACCCACTGCCCACAGCTTGATGGCTGTATTGATCTGGATGATTTTCTGAGTCCCAGTGAATAAGCTACTCTCTTAGGACCAGAGTCCAAAGCAGGCGCCATGTCCAACAGCAGGACCTGGCTCTCAGCTGGGATTCTACTGGCCCACCGCTAGCCCTGGTCACCTCTGCCACTGGCCTGCCAGCCCACAGAGGCCCTGGGTTTCCTGCTCCGTAGGACAGTGAAAGACTCCTTGCTGCTACAAATGGAAGGAGGCCAGGGCAGCTTGCTGGGCTGAGGCTGCAGCTCCCGAAGGAGGCCACCTGTCTGCACCTCCAATGGGACCACCTGGCTGAAGAGGGAAAGGGCCTCAGACCACGGGTGCCCCCATCCCTTAGAGAGGAAGACGACAGTCACACAGAGGGGGACATCGATGTTAGTGCTAAGGATTCTGCCTCACTGATTTGTATAAATTTAAATCAATCACCTACCAGTCCTAAATGTGCACAGTCACATAAACACGTAAATTCACAGGAAGATCTCTGGAAGAATCAACAGCAAACACTTGGCAATGGTAACCTAAGGGAAGGAGACGGGGAAGGGACGGAGGACTTTCACTTTTATTCTTTATATTCCTGACTCGGCTGAATTAGTTTCTTATAACTATATTTATAATAACTATAGAAGAAAATCAATGTTCAAATCTATCTTCAAAAGGGGGGCCAATGCTACAGAAGCTATCCTTGAGGAACAATATTATGGGTAGTATTTTTCCATCCTTTATAGTATTTTTCAGGCTTTCCAAGTGAACATGTTTGTTTCTTTTATATTAAATTAAACCATACACTGAAATTGCCATTTTTGATGGGTTGAAAGTGATTTGATTTGATAATTTCATGTAGTTCCACCAAATAACTCAGGATAAATACCCAACCCATACTTAACAGAATAACTTCTCAGAACCAGGACCACAACCAGACAGTAATAAATTTGTGTTTTTGTTTTTAAAGGAAGCAAATAAACAGAGCAGGGCTTTCCTTTCAGGCTGGGACCCAGGGCTACTCATTTCCATATTCCCAGCACCCAGCAGCTTGAGCAAAACCGTATCTAGGTTCACATGAGTTTGGCGAAGGAAAGATACATAAGCAGACAGAAAAGAAGCATCCATCACTAGGCAAACAAATGAAATTACACATGCTAAATTCAACAATAAATAAGGCATCTCAGCAAGAAAAGAAGAGGGTGGACAAAGAGGGAGGTGTCCGGCTCTGGTTAACTGGATAATTGGGCTGACCTTTGCTGATCTGGTAGGAGTCAGGGACAGAGGAGCAAGGAGGAAGGCAAGCAGACTGAGGGGCATGCAGGCTGCAGAGGGCACAGCCTGGATCAGCAGAGCCCAGGGAGACAAACACACTCTCCAACTCCAAGCAGCAGCTCGAGCCGAGTGTCCCCGAGAGGCTTCTCCCTGCCGAAGTAGAATATCCTCCTGGAAGAGGAACAGCTCAGCAGTCTCAACAGAGCTGCCCTGGCTCTCTAAATTAACTTCTGTTTTTATGTAGATGATCAATCTTAAGGCCTGATGTCTAAATCTCCAGCAGTGGGAATCCCCCACGTGAAGTTTGTCACTATAGAAATGACACTTGTAGCATTTGTGTTCTGTAACAGGCAGGGTGGGTAGGGTTCTTCGAGCAGGCTTGGGAAATGTTTGTAACGCAGTAGAAGGTACTCCTGGGCACCACGATGTAGTTTGCTGCTAGAGAAGATGCCCAGGACAACGTACGGTCCAGAAACCATCTCACTGGAGGACTTCTGAAAAGTGAGACGGGCTGGGCTCGCAAAGAGACCAAGGGAGAGCACGACAGCCGAATCCCAGGACTGGGAGGACCGCTGGGTAGAAAACAAGAGGCAGATGCACATTACTTCCTGTGGACACTCTAGAACCAGGGAGAACGGCGGGGCTCAACAGGAAGGGGCAAGAACACTGACGGCACTGAAGTTCAAGGGCTCAACGGGCCAGACTGGTCAGGAAGGTCCACCCCTCTGTACACCTCCTCATCTCACATGCACAGCCCGCGGGAGCCTCTCTGGAAGAGAGGGTGCAGTCTACTACAATTGCATTGACTTCTGCTCCAACTTTTGGAGTATTTCCTAAAAACTAGTTGTATTTAGTCCCAAACCTGTTTATGCCAGTTGTTTTTTGGCATTATATTTACATAATGGAATTGAACAGATAAAATATGAATGTGAAAGAAAGATGAGTCTAAAAAATGAATATTTCAGAAATGTTTGGTCAATGCAAGTAGCTAAAAAAATGCCATGGAATTAGAGGCGAGCAAAACAATAAAAATTTGTCTAAAATTAATAAAGAAAGAAGTCATAAAAATCTAGACAGGCCAGGCACGGTGGCATACACCTGAAATCCCAGAGGTTCAGGAGGCTGAAGCAGGAGGGTTGCGAGTTCAATGCCAGCCTCAGCAAAAGTGAGGTCTAAGCAGCTCAGTGAGACCCTGTCTCTAAATAAAACACAAAATAGGGCTGAGGATGTAGCTCAGTGGCCCAGTGCCCCTGAGCTTAATCCCCAGTACCCCAAAATAAATAAATAAATCTAGAAGCATTCTGTATCCTGATTATTTCCAAGGGACTTTTAATTCTCACTCACTTCAAGGAAACTGAAAATTATCTACACATCCTAACTGCAAAAGAAGGTCACTAGGGATACTAACTGGAGTACACACTGAGCAGCTCTAATCTGGAAATCCAAAAGCCAAGCGCTCTAAAATCTGAAGCTTTTGAGCACTGGCAATGATGCAGCAAGAGAAAGACTCCAGACTGTGAAACTCTGTTTCATGTACAAAATTATTAAAAATATTGCATAGAAATTACCTTCAGGCCATATATACAAGAAATATGCAAATCATAAATGAATTTTACACTTAGACTTGGGTCTTATCCCCAGGATACCTCATTATGTATAGTAAATATCCCCAAATCTGAAATAATTCTGGTCCCAAACATTTCAGATAAGGGATACTCAACCTATTCCAATAGGCAAAGAAAAGAACTTTCCCTGCAGCACAGTATTAGCCAAGGAACCATACAGCTAAATGTTTTAAATTAAAATAAGCTATTTAAAATATGCATAAATGTAAATGTGGGTGTATACATAGGTATACATGTGTATGTGTGTATACACACATAAGTGTGTTGTGTATATATAACTTTGGGGGGTTCCTGGATTTTACTAACATTTTATAAAACCTAATGAGCTTTATGTAGTAGACTGCACCCATCTTAAATGTATAATTTCATGGGTGTTGACAAATGTACTGCTATGTGACTACATCCCCACTCAAGTTGCTGAATTCTATATTCCCAGTGACTTGGGAGGCTGAGGCAGGAGGATCACAAGTTCAAGGCTAGTCTCAGCAACTTAGTGAGACCCTTGGCAATTTAGTGAGACCCTGTCGCAACATAAAAAATAAAATAAAAAGGACTGGAAGTGTAACTCAGTGGTAAAGCACTGCTGGGTTCAATCCCCAGTAACAACAAGAAAAAGATACAGAACTCTGCCATCAGCCCCAGAGTTCCCTTGTGCCCATCCAAACCAATACCCTGAATCCCTCCGAGTTCTGCAAAGGTGCCACAGGACTTCCAACACCACACTGGGGTCATCTGTGGACCTGTGCTTACCACCACCCATCTTTTACTGTTATTCCCTTCCTCCAGAGTAAAAGCCATGTTTTTGGTGGGTGGCTCTGTGTGACCAATACCACAATTATTTGACGTTTTACATTAACCCATTAAGTCCTATCATCCTATATGTAGGACACTGATAAAAAAAACCTCAAATTGTACAATAAATGCACCACTTATGTTTTTAGAATTTTTATGTCTTTTGAGAAAATAGATAAATAACTAGAGTTTTGAAAATATATATATTTATGTAATAGGATATTCATATTTTATATAAAATGTATAAAAATAAATAAGCTCTAGATTATGACTTCCAACCTATTTTAATGCACCTTTGCCAGTTTTGTTGAGATACAGAATTGAAAACTTCAGAGTTAATGGGTTTAACCAACTACATGTCTCTGTCCCCTCAGAGAAGCCCGCTTTTGGCTGAGTTTGATCTAGAACACTCGGCCTTGAGACCAGACAGCCCTGCATCCCTGTGAGCTGAACTTGCTCTCACTGTCCTCCACTGTCTCAGCTACAAAATGCCAGTGGCAACGTCACACAGTGGGTGTAAGGACAAACTGACATAAGTAAAACATACTTTAAAGACCTGCGTAAATGCCATTTATGACCCTTGAGCTTATCTGTCAGCCTTTTGA